GGAGTGGCCATCCTTTTCAATTCCGTAAATTAAATCCCGCTTGAAAGGGCTTTCATAACAAATGCCTGTTACAAAAAGTGAAACTGAAACGTTATTAGACATGGAAATGAAAAGCAAAGAAAACTTAATTATCACATGAAAATTAGTATTTTTCCTGACAATTTCTTTTCCTTAGGCAAGGGTCTGGATGATGTTTAATTTCCATAATAAAATGTCACAGCTGATTCGTTATTTTACATTTGATTAGCATTTATCACATTTTTGGCGCATACATAGATTGGGTTTGGACCCAAGCCAGAGTAGTTTTGTTTCAGAGTATTACTGAAGCGAACGGACAGAGAACGAGCATTTCTGATTGTAGGGGAGTTTTGTATGTTTTTGAGACAAGTATTTTCTAACAGTTTTGGTTTAGGCTGAGAGGTGGGAAGGCAGCCCTGGAGCACTCCCTGGGCTTTTTGGAGATCCTGACACCACGGAGTATTTTACTCTAGTTTTCAACCGGATGAGTTAAAAGCATTTTGCTGCTGACAGTCAACCTAACTGACTCTCAGTCCAGTCTGGAATGGGCTCTTCATCGCTCTAATGTACCATCAGAGGAATCCGAGCTTTGTCCTGCTTACCTGTCGGATGCTCTCAACTCCAAAAGGCAGAGCGGGGATGACCTGAGGAAGCCCAGTCTCAACCTGAACCCTCACGGCCACAGGAAGACGCACAAATGATGAACCAAGAGTAATGTTTTGTTCGTTATTTAACTGTTCCCACTCTCTAAACCACTCCATCCTTCCCATAACATGACACAATCCTGACTCAAAAAAGCCTCAAGGGAAATATTTTATCAGTAACTCCAGGGAAAATCTGCATATTATTTCAAGCTTAACCATGCTGCAAAGTACTCTTTCTCAAAGAAAAATACTCACTTTCCTCTGAAGACACACACAAGCGTGAGCACAGAGAGGAACCAAGCAAGCAGCAAAGCTAACGGATCAAGTATTTCAGCGAGCCGCTCCGCGGCGTCAGACCAGGGACAGTTCAGCCTCCAAGAGAAGCGATTTTACTAAAAAAGAAAGCTGGCACGCACCAGGCGCTATATCCTAATGTCAGCTTTAAAATGTATTTTTTCAATTCACATCCACATCCACCTCGAACACGGGCAACTAAAATGGAAGAGGCTGCTCCGCAGCCAATTCCCAAGCCCTCGTGAAACGACTGTTCCGAGCGGGACTCCATCCAGGGTAACACGGTACCGCAGAGCGTAGAAAATGAGACGTTTTCAGGTGATGGGGCAGGCAATGAAGCTTGTCGTCTGAAGCTTGGCCAGCTTCCCCCGCAGCACCCCAGCTTATCAGACAGTGTACTCCCTTGACAGGGGCTGCTTCTCTTTCTGAAATAAATTGATTTGACAGGGCAATATTAACAGTGCCCTGAGTTGTTGAGAAAGCTGCGTACAACAAGAGATCTTTGTTCATCTGCCTTGGCTAAGCTCACAGGGGCGGATGTGAAAGGTATTCCTGATTCAGTGACTCCAGAAAATAAATTAAAAAAAAAAAAAAGATAGAGGAAAAAACCCACAAAAAACCCCCACATGAAGCCTCCACACAATCACAATAAAACAAAACCAAACCGAGGTTAAAAAAAGAAAAAGCCAAAAAAGAAGGAACAGAGTCTGCAAGAGATCGGGGCAGGAAAAAAAACCCACTATGGGGCTAATTTTACATCCAGGGTAGCAAAATTTGAATACAAAGACTTGTTTAAGAACTACAAATGCTTTACAACATGTATAGTGTCCCGCATCTTGACAGAGTACGCATTTCCAAAGGCTCAGCAGGACGATGAAGCACAGCTAATGCCCGACCGCTGGCTCAGAACCAGGGTAACGGCAGCAGACACCCTCCTCTTGAGCCGCGGTGGCTGCCAACCTGCGGGCGCCTTGGCCGTGGCACGCAGCCTGATGCCAAACCTGCATCAAGAGTCAGCTAACCCAAGGGCAGGTATCCTCATTTGCCGCTGGGGACGCAGGCGGGAGCAGCGATCGGCACTCCTCGCCTCCAACAACTGCATCACGTGCTTAAGTCTTGCACCAGCAAGTTTTGGTGCCAGGAGCAGAGAACTACGGACAATCCTACTGTCTCACCAAGTGCTGAAAATATTATTCTTTCGTCAGCAAAACCAGGTTTTATGCTCAACAGCTAACGTGGTATCTAGGAGTAGACAAAACGGTACCTTTGTCTACTCAGCACAGGTCTGGTTTTCCTCTCAGAGCCGCCTTACTAACAGAAGTCAAAGAACGGACACCACGAAGTAGCTCTGCTGCCCAAG